TATGAGCACCCACCAATCACCAGCCACTAGTCCATGAGCACCCACCAATCACCAGCTACCTGTCCATGAGCACCCACCAATCCCCAGCTACTAGTCCAGCCATCATGATTGCACTCATCTCTGGGATACCACACAATTCTCCTTGCCCCTACAGCAAAGTGTCATGACTGATGGGTGCTAGCACAGTGTCATGACTGATGGGTGCTAGCACAGTGCCATGACTGATGGGTGCTAGGACAGTGCCATGACTGATAGGTGCTAGCACAGTGCCATGACTGATGGGTGCTAGCACAGTGCCATGACTGATGGGTGCTAGCACAGTGTCATGACTGATGGGTGCTAGCACAGTGCCCTGACTGATGGGTGCTAGCACAGTGCCATGACTGATGGGTGCTCGCACAGTGCCACGACTGATGGGTGCTAGCACAGTGCCACAAATGTCCACTGTTGGTGACACACCATCATTCTGCTGCTGTACATCACATAGGCCTCGCAGTCTCTCGGGGGTTCTTCTTGAAGGTAGTTTCCTTAATCCACTTGTTTCCCATTTCAATGCCTGTTTGCTGATTCCCTGCTCACTGTTTTCCAGGATGTGCTGCAATACTGCAAGGTGTTATGATTCTCACAAGAAACAGAATACAGAAGCCATGAAGGGACATAAACATGCATGCACACAAGCAAGATCACATACACACACAAATATTTACACACATACAGATGCATGTACATATGTATAGACGCACAAATATTTACACACATACAGATGCATGTACATATGTATACACACACAACATAGCAGTTCAATTCCTACAAAAACATTACATATTTGAGAAAAAAAAATAGGGACATTTCTGGTTAAATTAAAAAAAAATGCTGCTTATTTCTTGTGCAAGATTCTATGACTGGGATTAGCTGATGGCACCTACACCTACAGAGTGTCGCAACTTGAAACAGAAATCAATGAGAGAATCAGGACAGAAGATGCCTGATACATGAGACAATATAAATATTTGATCCTGTGCTCACCACGACAGTCGTCAACAAGGAAAGATAATTCAACAAACTCACACAGACAGCCCACACCCATCAGGTGCAGGTTTGTCACCACAGTCAGCGGCACATTCAGCTGGCACATACACTCACACAACTATACGTGTGCTAGCGGCACATTCAGCTGTTACATACACTCAGATGACTCTACCCATGCTACTCTACCCATGCTACTCTACCCATGCTACTCTACCCATGCTACTCTACCCATGCTACTCTACCCATGCTACTCTACCCATGCTACTCTACCCATGCTACTCTACCCATGCTACTCTACCCATGCTACTCTACCCATGCTACTCTACCCATGCTACTCTACCCATGCTACTCTACCCATGCTACTCTACCCATGCTACTCTACCCATGCTACTCTACCCATGCTACTCTACCCATGCTACTCTACCCATGCTACTCTACCCATGCTACTCTACCCATGCTACTCTACCCATGCTACTCTACCCATGCTACTCTACCTATGCTAGCTTCAACATGTTATGCATGTAAGATACTGCAGCAGTTATTAAGGCTTTGGCATCTCTGCTGGTTTCTCAGTTTGTCTTTCTCTCTGTGTGTTCCTTTCTCAAAGACTGCAAGCAATGTTTCAGTGTCTAGGGGGCATGATTTGGCACACAGTATAGGGACTTTTGTTAGACAGCTGGTACAATGACCAACCATCACTGCTGGACTTTCAGGTTGAGAAGGCTGGCCTCTTGTTTTGTAACAGTACACTCACCATGTCCAGCCGATAGGGCCCCAACCACAGTGATCGAAGGATGTGTGTCTCAATGTAACTGGGATACTCACTGGTGTCCAGCAGATAGGGCTCAAACCACAGGTGATGGAAGGATGTTGGTCTAATGTAACCAACTCCAAGAACAAGTCCAACAAGCAAACAGATACCAACAATGTCTCTGTACGGGAAAGGCACCAGTCAGCTCAGTTCATACTGCCATGATACATCAAGTCAGATCTCTATATGCTGTTAGAGTACCTTGACTGCTGCCTGATTGAGCAGCCTGAAACTAAAGTTAACTGTAAATCACCACTATCAATGCTGGTTGTCATAGCAACCACAGTTCAATTCTTGAAACCACCATTAGCCATCCATTACTGCAATCCCAAATACCACTAGTTATCCTTTACTGCAATCATTACTGCAACCAGCCATCTATTACTGCAGTAATTACTACCACTAGCTATTAATTACTGCTGTCATTACTGTTACTAGCCATCAATTACTGCAGTCATTACTGTCACTAGCATCCATTACTGCGACTATCCAAACATTACTGCAATCATTACTGTCACTAGCCAAACATTACTGCAAACATTACTGTCACCAGCTATGCATTACTGCAATCCTTACTGTCAGTCACTAGACAAACTTTGCTGCAAACATAACTGTCACCAGCCATGCATTACTGCAATCCTTACTGTCAGTCACTAGACAAACATTACTGCAATCCTTACTGTCAGTCACCAGACAAACATTACTGCAATCCTTACTGTCAGTCACTAGACAAACATTACTGCAATCCTTACTGTCAGTCACTAGACAAACTTTGCTGCAATCCTTACTGTCAGTCACTAGACAAACATTACTGCAATCCTTACTGTCAGTCACTAGACAAACATTACTGCAATCCTTACTGTCAGTCACTAGACAAACATTGCTGCAATCCTTACTGTCAGTCACTAGACAAACATTACTGCAATCCTTACTGCCAGTCACTAGACAAACATTACTGCAATCCTTACTGTCAGTCACTAGACAAACATTACTGCAATCCTTACTGCCAGTCACTAGACAAACATTACTGCAATCCTTACTGTCAGTCACTAGACAAACATTGCTGCAATCCTTACTGTCAGTCACTAGACAAACATTACTGCAATCCTTACTGCCAGTCACTAGACAAACATTACTGCAATCCTTACTGTCAGTCACTAGACAAACATTGCTGCAATCCTTACTGTCAGTCACTAGACAAACATTACTGCAATCCTTACTGCCAGTCACTAGACAAACATTACTGCAATCCTTACTGCCAGTCACTAGACAAACATTACTGCAATCCTTACTGTCAGTCACTAGACAAACATTACTGCAATCCTTACTGTCAGTCACTAGACAAACATTACTGCAATCCCTACTGTCAGTCACTAGACAAACATTGCTGCAATCCTTACTGCCAGTCACTAGACAAACATTACTGCAATCCTTACTGCCAGTCACTAGACAAACATTACTGCAATCCTTACTGTCAGTCACTAGACAAACATTACTGCAATCCTTACTGTCAGTCACTAGGCAAACTTTGCTGCCATCCTTACTGTCAGTCACTAGACAAACATTACTGCAATCCTTACTGTCAGTCACTAGCCAAACATTACTGCAATCCTTACTGTCAGTCACCAGACAAACATTACTGCAATCCTTACTGTCAGTCACTAGACAAACATAACTGCAATCCTTACTGTCAGTCACTAAACAAACTTTGCTGCAATCCTTACTGTCAGTCACTAGACAAACATTACTGCAGTATCCATGCTTTTCTAACAGGTTGCCATGAAATAATGTCACACCGCTACATGACGACGTGCCCAGCTGCTGTTTCCAGACACATACTGACAGAAACCAGCAGTGACGGATGGCACGCTCACTGTTTAAACAATCAAACACCATCAGTGCAGTCAGCAAGTTCAACACAATAGAGCATCAGTAGACAACGTTTCCATCATGTTTCGTAACGAACATATATCAATGTACAGGGTATGAGAATAGTAAACAGCCAACCATGACCAAGTGTTTCTTCAGAGACAACAGGTGCCATCACTAGATGTAGTCTGTTGACATCAGCAGATGTGAGCTGTTGACACCACTAGATGTGGGATGTTGACATCACTAGATGTGGGATGTTGACATCACTAGATGTGGGATGTTGACATCACTAGATGTGGGATGTTGACATCACTAGATGTGGGATGTTGACATCACTAGATGTGGGAAACTAACCGGCAACAAGCCTAGATATGGTCATTCTGTTGCAACATAGCAACATCCTTGACTGCAGTCACTGGCCAGCAGCATACAGGTCCCAACAGACCATCAGAAGGAGCAAGGTTTCAATGCAAGCGTTGACTGACCACAAACTCTTCAGATATCCTGTACTGTTGACTGACCACAAATTCTTCAGATACCCTGTACTGTTGACTGACCACAAACTGTTCAGATATCCTGTACCGTTGACTGACCACAAACTGTTCAGATATCCTGTACTGTTGACTGACCACAAACTCTTCAGATATCCTGTACTATTGACTGACCACAAACTCTTCAGATATCCTCTACTGTTGACTGACCACAAACTCTTCAGATACCCTGTACTGTTGACTGACCACAAACTGTTCAGATATCCTGTACTGTTGACTGACCACAAACTCTTCAGATACCCTGTACTGTTGACTGACCACAAACTCTTCAGATATCCTGTACTGTTGACTGACCACAAACTCTTCAGATATCCTGTACTGTTGACTGACCACAAACTTTTCAGATATCATGTACTGTTGACTGACCACAAACTTTTCAGATATCCTGTACTGTTGACTGACCACAAACTCTTCAGATATCCTGTACTGTCTAGCTACATCACATATAAGGTTACACTTTTTTGTAAGTAAATATATTGTAAGTTATTTTGGAGCAAACTTGGAATGAATATTTGAAGGGCATATTATTTGTCAGTTGATTTGACTACAACAAACCAGCCAGGACTGGAACAAGTTCATTCTGACATCTGCTGGATGACCTGTGCAGGACACACACAGTGTGAGTGAGTCAGACAGGGCTGAAGGTCACCCAGTTCTGATGCTAGCCAGTCAGAGAAAGAACAAACACACACACACACACACACACAAAGGCTGACTGTGTGTCAGTGTGGCCTGTGCTAAGAGTTGCCTGATGGCACATCCTTGAAGGAGCTGTGTACTGTGTGAAAGCCACGTTTGTCAATGTTCATCTTGATGGTCTCTATTTCCTTGAACAGCTGGTCAGCACTGACCTCCTCAGGCAGCTTGGTCAGGAACTGTGCTGCATGGATGAAATCCATCTTCAGCAGGATGCTCTCATGTATCTTGAGAATGGCTGAGGACAGACAGCGGTGGTTAATTCAACATTACCTAGTTCACCTGGGCTGAGATATGCTCATGTTTTATTAATGGAGGTGACAGGTTCGATTCCAGGAATCATAATTACAGCTTTCAATTTTTATGTTGTCTAGTGTGTTCTTCTTTCTGCTTCTTTCAATGAGTGCCGATCAATTCATTGTCTGTGTGTCTATTATATCTCTACAGAATTGTACCTACGAAGCCTTGCACAGCTAAAATATTATAGCACATCAGCCCCTAGCGACTGTAGTCAAGGCGCTAGGCTAATTTGGTGACATCACTTCCTTAGGCTGACACACAATGGCTGTCACATGTGTTTTAAATGTTAGTTTTATTTTTGTTTCTATTAACATTAATAAGTGCAATCGTTATTTTACCTTCACTATTGATTCACTTATAAGTGGTGTTTTCTTGGAAGAGTTAATAAGTTCTTCACATGATTCTCTTTGGATTTATACCTTGTTTATACCTTGTGCTTTCAAGGAGCAGCATTTCAAAGGTAAGAAGGTAAAACAATACTACTCTGTATGTCTTATGATCTCTTTGTTTGCCAGTACAGTATACCTTATAATATATCTTAAAATATAATTTATTAAATATTACAAATTCAAAATAGGCAAATATCCTGACTGGACAAGGCGAATATTGTGAATATACTATGTGGATAAGAAGAATATTGTGAATATACTATGTGGATAAGAAGAATATTGTGAAAATACTATGTGGATAAGAAGAATATTGTGAATATACTATGTGGATAAGAAGGATATTGTGAATTTACTATGTGGACAAGGCGAATATTGTGAATATACTATGTGGACAAGGCAAATATTATGAATATACTACGTGGACAAGGAGGATATTGTGAATATACTATGTGGACAAGGCAAATATTATGAATATACTACGTGGACAAGGCAAATATTATGAATATACTACGTGGACAAGGAGGATATTGTGAATATACTATGTGGACAAGAAGAATTTGTGAATATACTATGTGGACAAGGCAAATATTATGAATATACTACGTGGACAAGGAGGATATTGTGAATATACTATGTGGACAAGAAGAATTTGTGAATATACTATGTGGATAAGAAGAATATTGTGAATATACTATGTGGATAAGAAGGATATTGTGAATTTATTATGTGGACAAGAAGAATAAATCATCCAAGAAAAGAAAGCTGGTTAAGTTCACTCACTAATTTTCAGTGGATTATGTGGATACATATTGGATATTCACCAGCTAAAATTCAAGTAGTTTCTGATGTACTTTCTATTTTTATGTTGTTCTCTATATTTTGTTCTCTAAAAAAAAAAGAAAAATTACATTAGACTAAAAAAGCCTATCAACTGTGTAAGATATACTAATTAATTTATTTTTTAATATTCTTCTCTAGTGTTGCCTTGTAGTTTGTACATGTGTATATGCCTGGATACAAGTGTTGCCTTGTAGTTTGTACATGTGTATATGCCTGGATACAAGTGTTGCCTTGTAGTTTGTACATGTGTATATGCCTGGATACAAGTGTTGCCTTGTAGTTTGTACATGTGTATATGCCTGGATACTAGTGTTGCCTTGTAGTTTGTACATGTGTATATGCCTGGATACAAGTGTTGCCTTGTAGTTTGTACATGTGTATATGCCTGGATACAAGTGTTGCCTTGTAGTTTGTACATGTGTATATGCCTGGATACTAGTGTTGCCTTGTAGTTTGTACATGTGTATATGCCTGGATACAAGTGTTGCCTTGTAGTTTGTACATGTGTATATGCCTGGATACAAGTGTTGCCTTGTAGTTTGTACATGTGTATATGCCTGGATACAAGTGTTGCCTTGTAGTTTGTACATGTGTATATGCCTGGATACAAGTGTTGCCTTGTAGTTTGTACATGTGTATATGCCTGGATACAAGTGTTGCCTTGTAGTTTGTACATGTGTATATGCCTGGATACTAGTGTTGCCTTGTAGTTTGTACATGTGTATATGCCTGGATACAAGTGTTGCCTTGTAGTTTGTACATGTGTATATGCCTGGATACAAGTGTTGCCTTGTAGTTTGTACATGTGTATATGCCTGGATACAAGTGTTGCCTTGTAGTTTGTACATGTGTATATGCCTGGATACAAGTGTTGCCTTGTAGTTTGTACATGTGTATATGCCTGGATACAAGTGTTGCCTTGTAGTTTGTACATGTGTATATGCCTGGATACAAGTGTTGCCTTGTAGTTTGTACATGTGTATATGCCTGGATACAAGTGTTGCCTTGTAGTTTGTACATGTGTATATGCCTGGATACAAGTGTTGCCTTGTAGTTTGTACATGTGTATATGCCTGGATACAAGTGTTGCCTTGTAGTTTGTACATGTGTATATGCCTGGATACAAGTGTTGCCTTGTAGTTTGTACATGTGTATATGCCTGGATACTAGTGTTGCCTTGTAGTTTGTACATGTGTATATGCCTGGATACAAGTGTTGCCTTGTAGTTTGTACATGTGTATATGCCTGGATACAAGTGTTGCCTTGTAGTTTGTACATGTGTATATGCCTGGATACTAGTGTTGCCTTGTAGTGTATTTGTACATGTGTACATGTGTATATGCCTGGATACAAGTGTTGCCTTGTAGTTTGTACATGTGTATATGCCTGGATACTAGTGTTGCCTTGTAGTTTGTACATGTGTATATGCCTGGATACTAGTGTTGCCTTGTAGTTTGTACATGTGTATATGCCTGGATACAAGTGTTGCCTTGTAGTTTGTACATGTGTATATGCCTGGATACAAGTGTTGCCTTGTAGTTTGTACATGTGTATATGCCTGGATACAAGTGTTGCCTTGTAGTTTGTACATGTGTATATGCCTGGATACTAGTGTTTGCCTTGTAGTTTGTACATGTGTATATGCCTGGATACAAGTTTTGCCTTGTAGTTTGTACATGTGTATATGCCTGGATACAAGTGTTGCCTTGTAGTTTGTACATGTGTATATGCCTGGATACTAGTGTTGCCTTGTAGTTTGTACATGTGTATATGCCTGGATACAAGTGTTGCCTTGTAGTTTTGTACATGTGTATATGCCTGGATACAAGTGTTGCCTTGTAGTTTGTACATGTGTATATGCCTGGATACAAGTGTTGCCTTGTAGTTTGTACATGTGTATATGCCTGGATACAAGTGTTGCCTTGTAGTTTGTACATGTGTATATGCCTGGATACAAGTGTTGCCTTGTAGTTTGTACATGTGTATATGCCTGGATACAAGTGTTGCCTTGTAGTTTGTACATGTGTATATGCCTGGATACAAGTGTTGCCTTGTAGTTTGTAGTGTATATGTACATGTGCCTTGTATATGTGCCTGGATACAAGTGTTGCCTTGTAGTTTGTACATGTGTATATGCCTGGATACAAGTGTTGCCTTGTAGTTTGTACATGTGTATATGCCTGGATACAAGTGTTGCCTTGTAGTTTGTACATGTGTATATGCCTGGATACAAGTGTTGCCTTGTAGTTTGTACATGTGTATATGCCTGGATACAAGTGTTGCCTTGTAGTTTGTACATGTGTATATGCCTGGATACAAGTGTTGCCTTGTAGTTTGTACATGTGTATATGCCTGGATACAAGTGTTGCCTTGTAGTTTGTACATGTGTATATGCCTGGATACAAGTGTTGCCTTGTAGTTTGTACATATGTATATGCCTGGATACAAGTGTTGCCTTGTAGTTTGTACATGTGTATATGCCTGGATACAAGTGTTGCCTTGTAGTTTGTACATGTGTATATGCCTGGATACAAGTGTTGCCTTGTAGTTTGTACATGTGTATATGCCTGGATACAAGTGTTGCCTTGTAGTTTGTACATGTGTATATGCCTGGATACATAGTCTATTTGAGCTTATTCCTAGAATTGTTTTATTTTATTTTAGGGAGAGCGCAGGGGATGGCCAGGATCAAGCTGATAAAACAGAAGGTGTTGTCAGCCAGGGGGTGGTGACGTCACATCAAGCTGATGTCACCATCCCCACCATGGGCCTCACCAGAGACAGACATGATCAGCCTAACCCATTGGTCCTCAATCCTCCGACGCAGCTGTCACCTCACCTATCAATGTCTTACCTGTCAATATCTCTCACCTGTCAATGTCTGCCCTGTCTCAGTGAACCCAGTAGGAGCTGACTGGCATATATTCTTTCTGTACTCCACAACTAGTTTCCACAAGCTTGTGCCTACTTTCAACAGGCAGTTCATCGTCTCTGACTCCTCTGTCTCAATGTCTCACCTGACAATGTCTCACCTGTCTCATCGTCTCTGACTCCTCTGTCTCAATGTCTCACCTGACAATGTCTCACCTTCTCGTCTCTGACTCCACTGTCTCAATGTCCCACCTTCTCATCGTCTCTGACTCCTCTGTCTCAATGTCTCAACTGACAATGTCTCACCTGTCTCTGACTCCTCTGTCTCAATGTCTCACCTGAAAATGTCTCACCTGTCTCATCGTCTCTGACTCCTCTGTCTCAATGTCTCACCTGACAATGTCTCACCTGTCTCATCGTCTCTGACTCCTCTGTCTCACCTGACAATGTCTCACCTGTCTCATCGTCTCTGACTCCTCTGTCTCAATGTCTCACCTGACAATGTCTCACCTGTCTCATCGTCTCTGACTCCTGTGTCACTGTCTCTAGAAAGCAGCTCATTCACTAACTACCAGCCCATATTTCTTCCTCCACTGAGCCATCTGTATAGATGATGAAGTCACCTGGTCGTGGATGAGCGCCCTTGTCTAAGAATCAGCCTCTGTTTGGTTCCATTCTCTGCAACAGGATGATTCTTACCTCAGTGTGTTCTTGCATTCTTTCTGCTGTTTGAATCTATTCAGCACTGAACCTGACATGTTCCACTGGGTAGATCTGGCTAATGGTGTCTTTGCATCCACTATCCAATTCTGTCCCCTCTAAAGGTGCTCACATCTGTTAACCCGCAGGCTGCTGTGCAGAGGGTGTTTTATGTCAGCAGCAGTACACAGGTACGCCCTCATGTCTACAATCATTTAACTGTCTCTTACCCGATATGGCTGCAGTAACTTGTTACCAAGATGGCAAGTTAATGATACTGGTTGTATTTGCACCTGTGTACCCTTTAGGTCAGGATTGGAATGTTATTACTAAACATAGCATTGGGGAGGACGGAAAAAAGGGGGGGGGGGGGGTGGTTTAGGGGCCAGGTGACCAGAATGACTAAATAGTGCCATTCTGAGACTGTATAATTTGCCTGTGTCAAAACTGTAATAGGGTTAGGGTAAGCATCACCAGATACATCAATATTTGTTTTTACCATTTGGAATGTATTCTATGACAGCTCCAGTCTGTGCATGTCTGTAGATTATTATCTTGTTGTATTTTGAAAAAGTTAAAAAACAAATTTTTTTTTAAAGAAACATTTTATAAAAGTTCAGTGTTTATCTGTGTAAATATTAGTTTGTGCAAAGGATTTCCTTGGGTTCCCAATTTCTGAGTGCCAGTACATAACTGAGATTCTGCAGGATCATGTGGGTTGTGACTTGTGAGTGGATTTCTGAGTGCCAGTACATAACTGAGATTCTGCAGGATCATGTGGGTTGTGACTTGTGAGTGAATTTCTGAGTGCCAGTACATCATCCAATGGGCTCAGTAGACTGCACCATTGTGGCTAAATCAGACAATAGTGATGACAATGGTGCCAAAGAAGGTAGCAATGATGCCAAAGAAGGTAGCAATGATGCCAAAGAAGGTAGCAATGGTGTCAAAGAAGGTAGCAATGATGCCAAAGAAGGTAGCAATGGTGTCAAAGAAGGTAGCAATGGTGTCAAAGAAGGTAGCAATGGTGTCAAAGAAGGTAGCAATGGTGCCAAAGAAGGTAGCAATGGTGTCAAAGAAGGTAGCAATGGTGCCAAAGAAGGTAGCAATGGTGTCAAAGAAGGTAGCAATGGTGTGAAAGAAGGTAGCAATGGTGTCAAAGAAGGTAGCAATGGTGCCAAAGAAGGTAGCAATGATGTCAAAGAAGATAACAATGATGATGATGCCAAAAAAGATGAGGATGATGATGATGAAAGAGATCATGATGTCAAAAAAGAGTATGACAGAGATGATGATGATAGAGAGATTGATGACAGATATGATATTGACAGATATGATGATGACAGAGATGATGATGACAGAGATGATGATGACAGAGATGATGATGACAGAGATGATGATGACAGAGATGATGACAGAGATGATGACAGAGATGATGAGGATGATGATGATGACAGAGATGATGATGACAGAGATTATGATGACAGAGATGATGAGGACAGAGATGATGATGACGACAGAGATGATGATGTCAAAAAAGATGAGGATGATGATGACGTCAAAAAAGATGAGGATGATGATGATGACAGAGATGATGATGTCACAAAAGAGAGGATGATGATGATGACAGAGATGATGATGTCAAAAAAGATGATGACAGAGATGATGATCAATGTCATGACTCTCACCAAGAGCTGTGCGGAACAAAAACTCCTCCCCGTCCCTGAAGTAGACATCCCATACCCTGCAGGCAACATCTAGCGGCAGGGACTTGCTGTAGATCAGGAACACCCTGCAAGTAGGTCATCTCTTTTATCAAGACATCCGAGTCTCAGCCATCAAAACTAAATATCATCAAAAACATCACCATCAAATTAAAAATAAAGGACCCTTTCCCAGGCCTTCAGTTGTACTGAGCACACACTGCTAGACCTATTTCCCAGGCCTTCAGTTGTACTGAGCACACACTGCTAGACCTATTTCCCAGGCCTTCAGTTGTACTGAGCACACGCTGCTGGACCCATATTGTAGACACAATCGGCACTTGGTCAGTCTTGTGGTCAACACTCTGCTGGCTGCCTTGACTTCCCACCCGTTACCTGGTACCCACCTAAGGCAGGGCTGACCAGGTGGCCAAGGTCATTGAAACAAACATGTTTAGCTATGCTCAGATTTCAAACCTACGACCTTCTGATCTGCAGGCAAGCTTCTAGCCACTACACCACAGCGGCTCCCAAAACAAATACAGCTTTAATGACCACACCAGAATGTCAGTCGTGAGAACTGGAGGATGTCAGCTACCAGCACAGATGGAATCCCTTAAACAGATCTGATGTGAAAGCAAGAAGGCACACAAGAATAAAATGGATGGATTGATGTCATTAAAAACAGACTACACTGACACAGTAAGCAAATAACCAGTTCTACCTACTGAGCAATGGATCAAAATCTATGCCTCCCTGCTTACAACAACTACCCACACCCAATGGCAACAGTGGTGGAAACTGATGAAGATAACTGAGTTCTGTCTGTTGCAGATGATTGATGACTGGCACCTTTCCGTCTCTCCAGAAGTTAGTGTTTTATGGCGCTATGACGAGGCATAGGACTCGCAGCTCATGGCGATGGCGAGTGTGACTAGCAAGTCCCGCCTGTGTCACAAGTCTTCCACAATAATAGCATGGGGATTCAGGACCATTGTTGTCAACATTTGTGTTTAATCCATTTCTTCTCAGACACTCAGCTCTCATCCTTTCCGCAAACATTTCTTCCTTCTCTCTTATTTTTGTTCCCATGAGTCCACCTCAATACATGTATCATTCATGTCTCGCAGGCACACATTTTTATACCAGAGTAGAGGTTGGCCTCAACATCTTCTACCTTTTTTTAATTCACCATAAAGGATGTCCTTAGGGACTCAGCCATCCTCCATTCTCCAGGTGTGACCCAGCCATCTGAGTCTTCGTAGACTGAGCACTGAAAAGACTGTTGTAGTACCTGCTCTTTCCAGTACCTCAGTGTTTGTGATTTTGTCCTGTCACTTAATGCCAAGTATTCTTCTTAGGTATCGCATGTGAAAGCTATTAAGCCGTCCCTCCTGGTGCAAAAAGGTTGACCAAGTTTTACTGCCATAAAGCAGAGTGCTGAGAACACAAGCCTGATAAACAAAAGTTTATGTTTTAATTGGAGCTTTCTGTTCTCCCAAACTCTATTTGTCAATCTGCTCATTGTTGTTCAGCCTGCGAGCATTGTAAAGGCTGTCGTCAGACAGAGACTGGATGATTATACCACCCTCTTGATCTTGAAAGGCATGTGTCAAAAGAGAGAAGTCTATTTATATACCAAAGAGGGTAGGGGCGAGTACACACCCCTGCTTCACTCCATTTTGATTATAAACTCCTCTGTTGTTACACCCTCAAAGCTGATTGTACCTTTCATACCTGTGTGGAGTGACTCAATAATGCTCAGTAGGGTAGGTGGACACCTAATCTTCTTCAGTACGTTGAACAGACCTTTTCGACTAATGAAATCAAATGCCTTAGTAAGATCAATAAAAGCAACATACAATGGTTGCTTTTGTTCGCTGCATTTTTCCTGCAACTGTCGTAATGAAAATATCATATCAGTGGTAGATCAGTTCCCACGAAAGCCACACTGGGACTCTAGGTAAACCTGATAGCCATTTTTCTCACATCATTAATGTTTTCCAGGCCAGTGGAAAACCCGGGACACATAGTCCTCACGTTCCAAGAGCCAAGTTGAAGCTTGGGGTTATGTTTCTTTTTATTACCTGGTGCATCAGTTTTTACAGCCTGCAGTTCAGATTTTTCCTAGCTCCAAGCACCCATTGAAGCATACAAGCTGTGGCGGATCAACACCTCATTGGCTGGGGGCTGCCCAGCTTGAGGCGGGTGGTAGTTGATCAGTGACATTTGAAGATGTCTCTCATCGTTATGGACAACATCACAATCCCTCTCTCAGCCTGCCTTATATACTTCAAAGGAAAGATTCCACCAATACATTTGGAACAAAGATAACTGCAGAAGCTGCTGGATCAGAAGAGCAGTGCTCTGCCTGTCTGCCTGTCGGAGCTTCCCTCCTAGACCACCTGCCAAACAAGACAAAGGGCCTGGTCTGCCCTGTCATAACATAAAGTTTTCAGGTTGCATTTCCTATTCTTAGGATAAGGCTAGTATCCTCCCCAATGCGCTCCTACGCCTGAAATCGTTGGCACAATATGGGATGTCAGGTATGGTACACGCCGCCCAACATTGGGCGTAACAGAAGACAGGTGGTACCAGCTACTGTCATACGGTAGCTCAGTCAAATCTGACCAAGACCTGTAGTTGCAGATAACAGTTATACATACAAGCATCAAAGTGACAAAGATGTCAACAACAGAAAGCAAGCTGTCAGCAATGCAAGAGTTTACTCACCACTCCATGAGGTAGAGGTTTGCTGTTACAGACAGCGAGCTGAAGTGCATGTGCAGCTTGGGCAGACAATCTTTCAAAAACTCTTCAAATGTTCGATAGTAAGCCGTCATCTGTCAGCAGGTCGCCACCAATGGCACAGGGGCAAACCAAAACAAACACAATCAAGAAATGAAACAAACATCAGGACAACCAATAATTACTGGATACAATGTGTTTCTATCTTTTCTCTAGCCTTGAGAAGATGAAGTATCTTTTCTAATGCACACTTCACATCCAGATTGTGAATGATGTGTCTTGTCCTAATCCACAATTCACACCAAGGAGATGGATGGTGCACCTTGTCCTAATCCATACTTCACACCCAAAAATGACTGCATGCTAAAGCTGAGCAGTGTTGTATATACATCACATCACAGACCGCTCAATAGTTTCTGTGTAGCCCTAAACAACTGATCTAAGCTGTGAGTCAAGGACTACATGGCCGCGGCAAGAGTTCTCCCAGATCAAGGTCTGAAGCAAAACTGATGACCAAACTGGATTTGACTTTAAAAAATCACAGATAACCCTGGTACACTACTCTTCCACACATTGACAAGCTTTGGGATACCTACCAGATTCTCATCCATGCGGAAAAATGCTAACTGACATGGACGGTTGAGCAAGTTGGCAAAGCAAACAAATGCGTCTGCTACATCCATATTGAGAAGTAAAATTGCTGCGATGAAAGACATTCCCTGGACCTGTGAATGTAGGACATTATCATCATCATCATCATCAACAGTATCATGGTGTGGAACACAACAGTAGTTGGGTAGGTAAACTCCTTTATAAAGGGAACATCTCTACCAATAACAAAGACCAAATATCTGGAGACAACTTCCTTCTGTGGGAAAACAGCTCTTCCACAGACAGCTCTTCCATGGAAAATCTACTGTTACTGGGAAACAGCTCTTCCATGGAAGATCTACTGCTACTAGGAAACAGCTCTTCCATGGAACATCTACTGTTACTGAGAAACAGCTCTTCCATGGAACATCTACTGTAACTGGGAAACAGCTCTTCCATGGAACATCTACTGTAACTGGGAAACAGCTCTTCCATGGAAGATCTACTGCTACTAGGAAACAGCTCTTCCATGGAACATCTACTGTTACTGGGAAACAGCTCTTCCATGGAACATCTACTGTTACTGGGAAACAGTTCTTCCATGGAACATCTACTGTTACTGGGAAACAGCTCTTCCATGTAACATCTACTGTAACTGGGAAACAGTTCTTCCATGGAACATCTACTGTTACTGGGAAACAGCTCTTCCACAGACAGCTCTTCCATGGAAAATCTACTGTTACTGGGAAACAGTTCTTACATGGAACATCTACTGTTACTAGGAAACAGTTCTTACATGGAACATCTACTGTTACTAGGAAACAATTCTTACATGGAAAAATAGTTTTTCGTAGGAGATACAGTTCTTCTGAGGGAAAACAGTTCTTCTAAGAAAAAAACAGTTCTCCAAAGAAAAAACAGCTCTTCTGATGGATAACAGTTCTTCTAAAGGAAAACAGTTCTTCTAAAATAAAACAGTTCTTCTAAGAGAAAAAAAAATAGTTCTGAGAAGAAAAAAAAAAGTTTTTCTAAAGGAAAATAGTTTTTCTAAAGGAAAATAGTTCTAAGGGAAAACAGTTCTAAGGGAAAACAGTTCTAAGGGAAAACAGTTCTAAGTGAAAACAGTTTTTCGAAAAGAAAACAGTTCGGGGGGGGGGGGGGGGGGGGGGGGAGTTCTAATGGAAAACAGTCCTAAGAGAAACCAATTCTAATGGAAAACATTTGTGTAATGGAAAAAAATTCTTGTAATCCTTGTAACATTCTTGTATTAGAAAACGGTTCTTGTAATGGAAAACAATTCTAAGAAAAAACAGTTCTTCTAACAAAAAACAATCTTCTATAGAAAAATGTTCTGTGGAGAAAGTTCTTCCATGGACAGACAGCTCTTCCATATAGAAACAGTTCTGTGGAGAAACAGCTCATTCAGGCAGAAACATCCTCTGTGTGGACACCTATCCTTAATCCTATTAGTCAGTTAAACAACTGACATTCCTCACTGTACATCACTTAGGACCATAAGCACTCGGATCCCATCTTCCATATCCCCCCGAGCGACTGATAACACCATATCATAAATCACATAAAATATAATGGTGACTTCCAGCCAAACTGACATACAAAGAACATACAACTGGTTTCAGCTGATTCCTGGATAGTTAGTTACCTATATATCATTTACTAAACTAATCTAACCTGGGTCACAGACAACAATATGGTCAGAAATAATCTCACTTCATCCAGTCAATCCCTTCTTCCATCCCTCGCCATAACCAATGAAATCAAGCAGTCTTCCGTCAGCTCTCCATTCTTCACCTTGGTGTAAATTTTAAAGGGCAGATGACACATTGTATTGTGGTTTACAGATAGGCTGCAATATCTACACCATTCAACCCAAAACATCTGATTTCAGTAAACTTCTAATCAGTCACCTTTTAGAACATACTTGTTGAGAAAGCAGTGAGCACTCCCCTCACAAATGGGGTTGCGAAACCCCCAAAGGAAGACTTCTTCCACACACTTCTACACCCCCCCCCCCCCCTTTTCCAGTGCTGCTGCTTCTTCTGTGTTGGTGAAATCATTTCTTCTTCTGTGTTGGTGAAATCATTTCTTCTTCTGTGTTGCAGTTTCTTGCAGTTTTAACATACTTCTTTCTCCATGTGCAGCTGCTTAATCTTTGCTGTAGTTCCCACTAGTTGACTTTTAAGACATGCTTGATGGGGAGGCAGAGGATTGATTCTTGTTTACCTCCAAATGGGAGCCTGGAACCCACATGGGGACAAGAGCTTCAAGTCAGGAGATTCAATGACAGCCTCAAGACTATCCTGGGATCAGTGGCCACACACTTGACATGTAACAAACACAGGAGATTCAATGACAGCCTCAAGACTATCCTGGGCTCAGTGGCCACACACTGGACATGTGACAAACACAGGAGATTCAATGACAGCCTCAAGACTATCCTGGGCTCAGTGGCCACACACTTGACATGTAACAAACACAGGAGATTCATTGACAGCCTCAAGACTATCCTGGGCTCAGTGGCCACACACTTGACATGTAACAAACACAGGAGATTCAATGACAGCATCAAGACTATCCTGGGCTCAGTGGCCACACACTTGACATGTAACAAACACAGGATATTCAATGACAGCCTCAAGACTATCCTGGGCTCAGTGGCCACACACTGGACATGTGACAAACACAGGAGATTCAATGACAGCCTCAACACTAGCCTGGGCTCAGTGGCCACACACTTGACATGTAACAAACACAGGAGATTCAATGACAGCCTCAAGACTATCCTGGGCTCAGTGGCCACACACTTGACATGTAACAAACACAGGAGATTCAATGACAGCCTCAAGACTATCCTGGGCTCAGTGGCCACACACTTGACATGTAACAAACACAGGAGATTCAATGACAGCCTCAAGACTATCCTGGGCTCAGTGGCCACACACTTGACATGTAACAAACACAGGAGATTCAATGACAGCCTCAAGACTATCCTGGGCTCAGTGGCCACACACTTGACATGTAACAAACACAGGAGATTCAATGACAGTCTCAAGACTATCCTGGGCTCAGTGGCCACACACTTGACTTGTAACAAACACAGGAGATTCGATGACAGCCTCAAGACTATCCTGGGCTCAGTGGCCACACATTTGACTTGTAACAAACACAGAGAGCAACACTGGACACAGCAGCCAATGTCCCCACTCACATATCCCACGTCTGGTCTGTAGCATGCATAGGCTCCCAGCAGGTTGTGCAACAGGTCGTAGAATGGACCACCCTGGCAAGGACAATATCACAATAACAACATCAGTGTATCAACATACAGCACTATCACTTACATCCCACAAAACATTTATTGCTCAACACATTGAAGATGCCTTCCAGGAAAAGAAACACACTATTGCAGTCTGGGTGGATGCGGAGAAGGCCTTCGACAAAAAGGGGGGGGGGGGGGGGGGGAATGGGCTGAAAACAAATGCTACTTTAAAGTGGAATATCCCATAACATGCTTAGGTGGATCCCGAAATAGCTTGAAAATCGAACTGCAAGAGTCAAGACAAAACGAACGAACGAACGAACGAACAAACTTTATTTTCAAAGGGTTACAAATTGGGCACGCAGGCCCGTCTGACATTCGGCCCTTCTAAGTACTCATTTTTCAGAGTACTAATACCTGTTATCAATAATGCATGTTATGGATTTTTAAAAAAATATATAATGCATACACACATCGTGTGTACGCCATCATACACACTCACACACACGTACACATACATCTACATTTTCATACAGGTGAACTCATATACAGACATACGTGATACATACACACCTGCATCTACATACATATACAAGCATACACATACACAGAAATAAATGCACAAACAGAAAACACACACACATACATTTATGGATATACATGCACACACGCATTCCATATATACACATCTATACATGCACCCATGCATACACACATTTACAATTACATGTACAGACACCAACATATGCCCAAAACCACACATTTACACTTACATGAACACATACACGCACACACATGCATACATATATCCACAAATTTATACCTAAACTCACATCTTTACACACATACATACATACCTAAATATACTTTCATATATCCACATGTATACACACACAATCACACACACATGCACACTTGCATGCTTTTATAAATACACAAACACCCACATACCTACACAGCTACATATACCTGCATACACCCACATTATACATAAATATACACACACAGATACAATCACATACTTACACATTTACATTCATACATTCTCATACATACAGACATACATAATACATACATGCACCTACATACATATACGCACACATACACATGTGTACATACATAGGCTAAATTTGTATGCATACATAATACATACATCGACATACAAACATAAACACACATTTACATAGACATACATGCATGCGCACACACACACATGCATACATACAAACATCCATACACTCACATACTTGCAAACACACATAAATTCACACACATGCTTACACAGATACATACATACATCCACCAACATGCATACAAACACACATATGTGCATACATACACACACATAACATACATAAACACATATGCATGCATACACACATAACTAATCACACAAACAGACACCCTCATACAAACATTCACTTATATATGTCTGCATACATACATACATGCATACATAATACAGACACACACACAATCACACTCATATACAATCACACATACACCCATATATTTACAACCTACTTACATAAATACACACACATACTCACAAACCTAAAAATACAGACATATATCCATATATATACATACACACTAACAATTACACACACCCACCCACATAATACACACATATAAGACAGGTTCAAGGAGCAGATTAGTGACACTGAAACATGGAGTTCCACAAGGCGGAGTTCTGTCCCCAGTTCTTTTCTAAAAATATATTAATGACATAAAATCAACCATCGGTCATGGAGTTCAAGCTGTCGTGTATGCCGATGATCTGACACTAATGAACTCAGAGGAGAATATTGGCACCGCACAGACAAGTTTTCAAGTTTCCCTCGGAAGTCTAAGAGAAGTGGTCCAGTAGTTGGTACATGCCTGTAAATGGGACCAAAACTACACACACCATTTCCAGTCTTTCCACCAAACCCCAGAAAGCTTCACTTACATATGGCAGCCAGGCACTGAAACATGATGACACCATCATATTTAGAAGTTACTTTTGACCCAAGACTGACATTAAGAAAACAGATAGAAAAGACAGAGCAAGGGACTCAAGAAAGCTCAACTGATGAGGAAGTTAGCTAGAACAGACTTGTGGGGAAGGGAGGGGGGGGGGGGGGGGGGGGGGGGGCAAACCTCAGTGTCCTGAAGATGACTTATACAGGCAATGTGAGGCCAACATTAGAATATGTGCCTGGGGTACTGCAGCTAAATCACATTTTCAGAAAATCTCAAAGAGCCAAAGCATGCTCTCCACGCTCATATCAGACATGGAAACAATTACTGGTCTCCATGCTCTGGAAGACAGGAGAGATACAAAGCTCCTCACCCAGCTATTCAAATATCACAACTTGAAAGAAAATCCTATACACAGCCGGCTGCAGAAACCACAGAAGGCCAGACTAAAGAACACATGTTTCATTAAGAACACAAATGCTAAGCTCGCTGACCTCAAACTCCCTCCCGCAGTTCCAATACAACCACTGCCCCCATCCCCCTTTCTGGCTTAGGGATAACCTGCCAACAGTCAGAACCACTGTCACAGGAATCTCCTCCATCCCCCTTTCCGGCTTAGGGATAACCTGCCAACAGTCAGAACCACTGTAACAGGAATCTCCTCCATCCCCCTTTCCGGCTTAGGGATAACCTGCCAACAGTCAGAACCACTGTAACAGGAATCTCCTCCATCCCCCTTTCCGGCTTAGGGATAACCTACCAACAGTCAGAACCACTGTAACAGGAATCTCCTCCAAATCAGCAATGATCAGCACTGATATGAAACATAAAATGCCTAAATGGATTAAAAATCAACCAGGCTGTACCAACAGGTTCATATTCCTCCAATTACAGAGCAGAGGCAGAAGCACTTCTAGCGGCATGTTCTTTCCTGAATGGACAACAGCACAGCAAATATAGCAGAGTGGTCTTTCTGACTGATGCTATGTCAGTTCTACAAGAAATTGTTAACCCAAAAGACACAGTTTGTAGACTTGACACAACAGCTGATTAACCTAGGGTCTTCAGTAGAACAATCTGTACTGCAATGAATTCAAGGTCATTGTGGCTTGAAAGGCAATGAAACAGCGGACAGATTGGCCAGAAACGGCAGTGAAATGGTACAACCAAAAAGTGACTTAACCCATCAAGAGACAAAAACATTAATACAATCTAGTATCCAAGAAAGGTGGCTGGATACACACACCAGACTCTCACCTCAAGACTCGTTTCATCGCCTCTCTAGAGATGCACAGCGTATTATATTCAGACTAAGGACCGGGCACAACAGACATCGTCAATATATGTTTAAACTTTTCGGTGTAGGAAATACGGAGACGTGTCCCTGCAGCGTGGCACCCGAAAATGCTGAGCATGTGCTCCAACACTGTCAACTGTATGCTGACAACACAGACGCAATTTGGCATGTTCCAACCACAATGAAGACAAAACTGTATGGTACACAAGAAGATATGGATTGCGCGACAGCTTTCATAAAGGCTACCAGCCTCCTGATATAAGTTTTCTGACAGAAGGATCGAAGAAGAAGAAGAGCAAGAAGAAGACAATATAACATTTTGATCTGCTTTAACTGGCATTATCTATGAAATCCCACAATCTCTTGTGTCAGTCAAGTTCCCACTATCTCCTGTCTATCAACAACTTATCTGCAGAAAAACAACAACAAAAATAAAACTAGCAGGCTCTTAACCTATTTACACTGAACCAGTTCTTGTAGGTATACTGAACCAAGTCATGTCTGTCTCCACTAGGTCATTTCTGTCTATAAACAGACATGACATCTGTGTAGAGCTGTGCATATAGATCTGACCCAGAAACATGCCAGATATCTCCAATGTTATCACAGGTCATCAGTTCAGTGCTGGTCTGTTAACAGCCTGGAACTGTGTTATGTGTATCTGGGAGGGGGAGATGAGGTTTTTCCGATGACAAATATCAGTTATCTGCTCAGTCATTATCTATACAACTGTTATGTATCAAGGCATATCTGGGGCATTTAACTGTAGGCCATCAAATGACTTCAAAACCATTTTTTCCCCATAGATATCTCAAACAGCATTTTTTTTTTAAACAAATCTGGGTGAACTCTGTGCTCATTTGTTGTCAACCCAACCAGCATCTTACCCTCTGTCTGTCAACCCAACCAGCATGTTACCCTCTGTCTGTCAACCCAACCAGCATGTTACTCTCTGTCTGTCAACCCAACCAGCATGTTACCCTCTGTCTGTCAACCCAACCAGTATCTTACCCTGTCTGTCAACCCAACCAGTATGTTACCCTGTCTGTCAACCCAACCAGCATGTTACCCTGTCTGTCAACCCAACCAGCATGTTACCCTGTCTGTCAACCCAACCAGCATGTTACCATCTGTCAACCCAACCAGCATGTTACCCTCTGTCAACCCAACCAGCATGTTACCTCTTTCAACCCAACCAGCATGTTACCCTGTCTGTCAACCCAACCAGCATGTTACCCTGTCTGTCAACCCAACCAGCATGTTACCCGGTCTGTCAACCCAACCAGCATGTTACACTGTCTGTCAAACCAACCAGCATGTTACCCACTGTCTGTCAACCCAACCAGCATGTTACCCTCTGTCAACCCAACCAGCATGTTACCCTCTGTCAACCCAACCAGCATGTTACTCTGTCAACCCAATCAGCATGTTACCCTCTGACTGTCAACCCAACCAGCATGTTACCCTGTCTGTCAACTCACCCAGCATGTTACCCTGTCTGTCAACCCAACCAGTATTTTTTTTCCTCTGCTGATCCGTGACTCTAACACAACTGATCTGTTTCAGTTGTCACAACATGATCCAGACCATTCTCTTGCATAACATGTCCAATCAGCCCATTCATCATCACTGTAGCATAGCTGTTATACTACTGACAGAACTACAGATATACAATCATTGAGATGGGTCTCACTGTAGCATAGCTGTCATACTACTGGCAGAACTACAGATATACAATCATTGAGATGGGTCTCATCACTGTAGCATAGCTGTCATACTGCTGGCAGAACTACAGATATACAATCATTGAGATGGGTCTTACTGTAGCATAGCTGTCATACTACTGGCAGAACTACAGATATACAATCATTGAGATGGGTCTCATCACTGTAGCATAGCTGTCATACTACTGGCAGAACTACAGATATACAGTCATTGAGATGGGTCTCATCACTGTAGCATAGCTGTCATACTACTGGCAGAACTACAGATATACAATCATTGAGATGGGTCTCACTGTAGCATAGCTGTCATACTACTGGCAGAACTACAGATATACAATCATTGAGATGGGTCTCATCACTGTAGCATAGCTGTCATACTGCTGGCAGAACTACAGATATACAGTCATTGAGATGGGTCTCATCACTGTAGCATAGCTGTCATACTGCTGGCAGAACTACAGATATACAATCATTGAGATGGGTCTCACTGTAGCATAGCTGTCATACTACTGGCAGAACTACAGATATACAATCATTGAGATGGGTCTCATCACTGTAGCATAGCTGTCATACTACTGGCAGAACTACAGATATACAGGCAGAACTACAGATATACAATCATTGAGATGGGTCTTACTGTAGCATAGCTGTCATACTACTGGCAGAACTACAGATATACAGTCATTGAGATGGGTCTCATCACTGTAGCATAGCTGTCATACTGCTGACAGAACTACAGATATACAATCATTGAGATGGGTCTCACTGTAGCATAGCTGTCATACTACTGGCAGAACTACAGATATACAATCATTGAGATGGGTCTTACTGTAGCATCTCATACTGTAGCATAGCTGTCATACTGCTGGCAGAACTACTACAGATACAGATACAGTCATTGAGATGGGTCTCACTGTAGCATAGCTGTCATACTGCTGACAGAACTACAGATATACAATCATTGAGATGGGTCTCACTGTAGCATAGCTGTCATACTACTGGCAGAACTACAGATATACAATCATTGAGATGGGTCTTACTGTAGCATAGCTGTCATACTGCTGGCAGAACTACAGATATACAATCATTGAGATGGGTCTCACTGTAGCATAGCTGTCATACTGCTGGCAGAACTACAGATATACAATCATTGAGATGGGTCTCATCACTGTAGCATAGCTGTCATACTACTGGCAGAACTACAGATATACAATCATTGAGATGGGTCTCACTGTAGCATAGCTGTCATACTGCTGGCAGAACTACAGATATACAATCATTGAGATGGGTCTCACTGTAGCATAGCTGTCATACTACTGGCAGAACTACAGATATACAATCATTGAGATGGGTCTTATCACTGTAGCATAGCTGTCATACTACTGGCAGAACTACAGATATACAATCATTGAGATGGGTCTTATCACTGTAGCATAGCTGTCATACTGCTGGCAGAACTACAGATATACAATCATTGAGATGGGTCTTATCACTGTAGCATAGCTGTCATACTACTGGCAGAACTACAGATATACAATCATTGAGATGGGTCTCATCACTGTAGCATAGCTGTCATACTACTGGCAGAACTACAGATATACAATCATTGAGATGGGTCTCATCACTGTAGCATAGCTGTCATACTACTGGCAGAACTACAGATATACAACAGATATACATATCATTGAGATGGTGGGTCTCATCACTGTAGCATAGCTGTCATACTGCTGGCAGAACTACAGATATACAGTCATTGAGATGGGTCTGTAGCATAGCTGTCATACTACTGGCAGAACTACAGATAGCTGTCACTGTACTGTCATACTACTGGCAGAACTACAGATATACAGTCATTGAGATGGGTCTTATCACTGTAGCATAGCTGTCATACTGCTGACAGAACTACAGATATACAGTCATTGAGATGGGTCTTATCACTGTAGCATAGCTGTCATACTGCTGACAGAACTACAGATATACGGTCATTGAGATGGGTCTCATCACTGTAGCATAGCTGTCATACTGCTGGCAGAACTACAAATATACAGTCATTGAGATGGGTCTTATCACTGTAGCATAGCTGTCATACTACTGGCAGAACTACAGATATACAGTCATTGAGATGGGTCTCATCACTGTAGCATAGCTGTCATACTACTGGCAGAACTACAGATATACAGTCATTGAGATGGGTCTCATCACTGTAGCATAGCTGTCATACTGCTGACAGAACTACAGATATACAATCATTGAGATGGGTCTTACTGTAGCATAGCTGTCATAATGCTGATAGAACTACAGATATACAAACATTGAGATGGGTCTTACTGTAGCATAGCTGTCATACTGCTGACAGAACTACAGATATATAATCATTGAGATGGGTCTAACTGTAGCATAGCTGTCATACTACTGACAGAACTACAGATATACAATCATTGAGATGGGTCTTACTGTAGCATAGCTGTCATACTACTGACAGAACTACAGATATACAATCATTGAGATGGGTCTTACTGTAGCAGACATATACTGACATGATGATGAGAATTCAGAAATGTACTGTCATGATGACTAGATAACCAGACATGTACTGTCATGATGCTGAGATAACCTCACATGTACTGTCATGATGATGAGATAACCTCACATGTACTGTCATGATAATGAGATAACCTCACATGTACTGTCATGATGAGATAACCTCACATGTACTGTCATGATAAGATAACCTCACATGTACTGTCATGATGATGAGATAACCTCACATGTACTGTCATGATGACTAAATAACCAGACAGGCGCTGTCATTATGAAGAGATAACAAGACATGAACTGTCACGATGAAGAGATGACCTCACATGTACTGTCAAGATGCTAGTGTGTAACCCGTCTGTCATCTGTGTGACAGAACTGATGCTCAATGATCAAGGCAATACAATCTATCTTGGTAGCCTCACAGAGAGAGAGACTGTGTGTGTGTGTGGGGGGGGGGGGGGGGCAAGGATGTCAAAAAAAGAATACAAACAAACTTTCCCATGAGTCAGAAATCTGTGGAGATTAAATGTTCAAATGTCTACCTGCAAGCCAACCACGCTTGCTCCTGTGAACTGTCAGCACAAAGAGCAGGTTCACACATCTTTACAATGTAGGGTTTTTATAGCAGTGATTCTATCAATGCTGGCACAAGCCACAACTTCTGTCTGCATCTGTCAGCCAATTATAAATCTGCAGGAATATTTATTACAGTAGATCTCAGTCAGCTTTACGTACACAGCTTTATCTAGACATAGCTTTACCTTCTGAGGCTGCATATCCGGCACCACTGCTGCCTTCTTCTTCCACAAATCTGATCCGCTCTTCTGCTCGCTCATGGCAAATGTCATACAAGGCTGTAACGTGGATATACATCTCGCATATAAATGTCATACAAGGCTGTAACATGGATACACAGTTCACATATAAATGTCATACAAGGCTGTAACGTGGATATACAGGTCACATATAAATGCCAACATGGACATAAATAGTACACATGTAAATGTCATACAAGGCTGCAACATACATATCAAAACAGTTCACACATAAATATTCTACACATCTGCAACATTTTAAACAGATGACATACATATGCCACCCAAGGCTGTAACATACTTAAACAGATGACAAACAAATGTCACACAAGGCAGTAACATGCTCATATACATGACATATCAAGTCCACACAAGGCCTAATATACATTAACAGATGACAAATAAGACTGAAACATACTTACACAGATGACATATAAATGCCACACAAGACTGTAACATACTCACCCACTACACTACATGATTTAAAAAGTACTATCATAAATGTTTTATAAAGCATCAACAACAACAGAAAAAACAAAAACAAATGGATGTGGTACAAGACTGTGAGCTGACCAGACAGACACAATGACCAGTGGATTTGGGGCGAGAATGTACAGAATCAGATCTGATAAAACTACATAGTACAGAATGTCAGGATACACATGACATTATGTCCTATCATAATGTCATGTGCTGTCTGGCCACATGAAGAGAGCTTGAATTATTGCTCTCATTATATCTTAAACCTACCAGACCTGAAGCCCTGAACCTAACTGTCCCCTATACCTGAGCTCCTGGGCCTTAATGCGAAAAAACCAACATGATTTACAAAAATATTCGTTACATGCAAACAAGTGGCTAGAATAAGATGAAACTTGGAGACATTGTAGAAAATAGGCTTATATTTTATCTAGCGCCAATATTCCACCTTTTTGTGCCAATCCACTCAGAAGGATCAAGACTGTTTCACAAAGTGAGCACCAGATGTTGCTGTTTGAGGGACACGCCCCCTTCTCTTAATATCGATCTATTTCTAGATTTATAATTTTCAAGATTCTCCTAATTATTCGAGCTGAATGTGTCACTTCAACAGTGAACGTATTCTTCATGAAATTATGACTCTGCAGAGACTGAAAAAAGCAAATTATGGATCACCTGTTGGACTGTGAACAGCCTAGACCTACATTACTTTCCTGTCGAAGTGCTTGGTTCATCAACCGCTCGTTTGATTGTGAATGTTGCTAATGTTTTCACGTAAAACAACACAAATTGTATCCAAACACGCGAGAGAGACTATTCATGACGTCTGATTATGATTAGCTAGTTATTTTTAGTTTGTGACACATCTTCTTCACGCACTACGCAAAAAGCCAAAAATTTGGGTCAGCGGTTTGGCGCCAGGTTAAGAAATTCCCGGAAAATCGGGCCAGCAGTCTGGTAGGGTTAAAGGCATATACACAGGGTTAGGGGACTTTACTGGTAGTTTGTAGGTTGACAGGTAGCAGCCGACAGGTGATAGTGATGCGGGTTCACACAGCACTTGGGACACTGGGACTGGATTGATTATGGATCACACAGCACTTGGGACTCTTGGACTGAATATGGCAAGTGTGACTGTAGAGATTCTCTTGTCATGACTCCCAGTGAGTACTGCATGAGCTCTAACATGTGTCCGTACACACAATCAGACTCCTTTTCTTCAGTCATACTGCAGTATCCCACTCACATCTTAGATTTCCTCTCACAATATGAATCACTCCTTCCTCTTTTATATACACACACACACATATCCACCCACAAGCACACACTGCCACAAACACAGCCACACATGGACACTGCTGACATCAACTGTAGTTACCGTGTGTTATATTGAGATCATTGCCAATAGCCAACTGCCATACCCGGCCCCGCACATTTGGTGGCAAGCCCATCCACCAGAGATCACGTGTCTTTTTTGCCATCTTCCTGAAAACAGAACATAAGGTCATAACTGGTAGGGGTAGATAATCCAGTATCTCTCAAGTGTCTGTCTAGCATAAATCATCCAGTATCTCTCAAGTGTCTGGCATAAATCATCCAGTATCTCTCAAGTGTCTGTCTGGCATAAATCATCCAGTATCTCTCAAGTGTCTGTCTGGCATAAATCATCCAGTATCTCTCAAGTGTCTGGCATAAATCATCCAGTATCTCTCAAGTGTCTGTCTGGCATAAATCATCCAGTATCTCTCATTTGTCTGTCTGGCATAAATCATCCAGTATCTCTCAAGTGTCTGGCATAAATCATCCAGTATCTCTCAAGTGTCTGTCTGGCATAAATCATCCAGTATCTCTCAAGTGTCTGGCATAAATCATCCAGTATCTCTTAAGTGTCTGTCTGGCATAAATCATCCAGTATCTCTCAAGTGTCTGTCTGGCATAAATCATCCAGTATCTCTCAAGTGTCTGTCTGGCATAAATCATCCAGTATCTCTCAAGTGTCTGTCTGGCATAAATCATCCAGTATCTCTCAAGTGTCTGGCATAAATCATCCAGTATCTCTCAAGTGTCTGTCTGGCATAAATCATCCAGTATCTCTCAAGTGTCTGGCATAAATCATCCAGTATCTCTTAAGTGTCTGTCTGGCATAAATCATCCAGTATCTCTCAAGTGTCTGTCTGGCATAAATCATCCAGTATCTCTCAAGTGTCTGTCTGGCATAAATCATCCAGTATCTCTCAAGTGTCTGTCTGGCATAAATCATCCAGTATCTCTCAAGTGTCTGGCATAAATCATCCAGTATCTCTCAAGTGTCTGTCTGGCATAAATCATCCAGTATCTCTCAAGTGTCTTGCATAAATCATCCAGTATCTCTCAAGTGTCTGTCTGGCAATAATCATCCAGTATCTCTCAAGTGTCTGTCTGGCATAAATCATCCAGTATCTCTCGAGTGTCTGTCTGGCATAAATCATTCAGTATCTCTCAAGTTTCTGTCTGACAAAAATCATCCAGTATCTCTCAAGTGTCTGTCTGGCATAAATCATCCAGTATCTCTCAAGTGTCTGTCTGGCATAAATCATCCAGTATCTCTCAAGTGTCTGGCATAAATCATCCAGTATCTCTCAATTGTCTGGCATAAATCATCCAGTATCTCTCAAGTGTCTGTCTGGCATAAATCATTCAGTATCTCTCAAGTGTCTGTCTGGCATAAATCATCCAGTATCTCTCAAGTGTCTGTCTGGCATAAATCATCCAGTATCTCTCAAGTGTCTGACATTAATCATCCAGTATCTCTCAAGTGTCTGTCTGGCATAAATCATCCAGTATCTCTCAAGTGTCTGGCATAAATCATCCAGTATCTCTCAAGTGTCTGGCATTAATCATCCAGTATCTCTCAAGTGTCTGTCTGGCATAAATCATCCAGTATCTCTCAAGTGACTGGCATAAATCATCCAGTATCTCTCAAGTGTCTGTCTGGCATAAATTATCCAGTATCTCTCAAGTGTCTGGCATAAATCATCCAGTATCTCTCAAGTGTCTGGCACTGTGATCATCCAGTATCTCTCAAGTGTCTGGCATAAATCATCCAGAACCTCTCAAGTGTCTGGCATAAATCATCCAGTACCTCTCAAGTGTCTGGCATAAATCATCCAGTACCTCTCAAGTGTCTGGCATAAATCATCCAGTACCTCTCAAGTGTCTGGCACTGTGATCATCCAGTATCTCTCAAGTGTCTGGCACTGTGATCATCCAGTACCTCTTAAGTGTCTGGCACTGTGATCATCCAGTACCTCTCAAGTGTCTGGCACTGTGATCATCCAGTACCTCTCAAGTGTCTGGCACTGTGGTCATCCTGTATCTCTCAAGTGTCTGGCACTGTGATCATCCAGTACTTCTCAAGTGTCTGGCACTGTGATCATCCAGTATCTCTCAAGTGTCTGGCATAAATCATCCAGTACCTCTCAAGTGTCTGGCATAAATCATCCAGCATCTCTCAAGTGTCTGGCACTGTGATCATCCAGTATCTCTCAAGTATCTGGCATAAATCATCCAGTACCTCTCAAGTGTCTGGCACTGTGATCATCCAGTATCTCTCAAGTGTCTGGCATAAATCATCCAGTATCTCTCAAGTGTCTGGCACTGTGATCATCCAGTATCTCTCAAGTGTCTGGCATAAATCATCCAGTATCTCTCAAGTGTCTGGCATAAATCATCCAGTATCTCTCAAGTGTCTGGCATAAATCATCCAGTATCTCTCAAGTGTCTGGCATAAATCATCCAGTATCTCTCAAGTGTCTGGCATAAATCATCCAGTATCTCTTGTGTCTGTCTGTCATAAATCATCCAGTACCTCTTAAGTGTCTGGCACTGTGATCATCCAGTATCTCCCAAGTGTCTGGCACTGTGATCATCCAGTATCTCTCAAGTGTCTGGCATAAATCATCCAGTACCTCTCAAGTGTCTGGCATAAATCATCCAGTATCTCTCAAGTGTCTGGCACTGTGATCATCCAGTATCTCTCAAGTGTCTGGCATAAATCATCCAGTATCTCTCAAGTGTCTGTCTGGCATAAATCATCCAGTATCTCTCAAGTGTCTGTCTGGCATAAATCATCCAGTATCTCTCGAGTGTCTGTCTGGCATAAATCATTCAGTATCTCTCAAGTTTCTGTCTGGCAAAAATCATCCAGTATCTCTCAAGTGTCTGTCTGGCATAAATCATCCAGTATCTCTCAAGTGTCTGTCTGGCATAAATCATCCAGTATCTCTCAAGTGTCTGGCATAAATCATCCAGTATCTCTCAAGTGTCTGGCATAAATCATCCAGTATCTCTCAAGTGTCTGTCTGGCATAAATCATTCAGTATCTCTCAAGTGTCTGTCTGGCATAAATCATCCAGTACCACTCAAGTGTCTGGCACTGTGATCATCCAGTATCTCTCAAGTGTCTGGCATAAATCATCCAGTATCTCTCAAGTGTCTGGCATAAATCATCCAGTATCTCTCAAGTGTCTGGCATAAATCATCCAGTATCTCTCAAGTGTCTGGCATAAATCATCCAGTATCTCTCAAGTGTCTGGCATAAATCATCCAGTATCTCTCAAGTGTCTGGCATAAATCATCCAGTATCTCTCAAGTGTCTGGCATAAATCATCCAGTATCTCTCAAGTGTCTGGCATAAATCATCCAGTATCTCTTGTGTCTGTCTGTCATAAATCATCCAGTACCTCTTAAGTGTCTGGCACTGTGATCATCCAGTATCTCCCAAGTGTCTGGCACTGTGATCATCCAGTATCTCTCAAGTGTCTGGCATAAATCATCCAGTATCTCTCAAGTGTCTGGCATAAATCATCCAGTATCTCTCAAGTGTCTGGCATAAATCATCCAGTACCTCTCAAGTGTCTGGCATAAATCATCCAGTACCTCTCAAGTGTCTGGCATAAATCATCCAGTATCTCTCAAGTGTCTGGCATAAATCATCCAGTACCTCTCAAGTGTCTGGCATAAATCATCCAGTATCTCTTGTGTCTGTCTGTCATAAATCATCCAGTACCTCTTAAGTGTCTGGCACTGTGATCATCCAGTACCTCTCAAGTGTCTGGCACTGTGATCATCCAGTACCTCTCAAGTGTCTGGCACTGTGGTCATCCAGTATCTCTCAAGTGTCTGGCACTGTGATCATCCAGTACCTCTCAAGTGTCTGGCACTGTGATCATCCAGTATCTCTCAAGTGTCTGGCATAAATCATCCAGTACCTCTCAAGTGTCTGGCATAAATCATCCAGCATCTCTCAAGTGTCTGGCACTGTGATCATCCAGTATCTCTCAAGTATCTGGCATAAATCATCCAGTACCACTCAAGTGTCTGGCACTGTGATCATCCAGTATCTCTCAAGTGTCTGGCATAAATCATCCAGTATCTCTCAAGTGTCTGGCACTGTGATCATCCAGTATCTCTCAAGTGTCTGGCATAAATCATCCAGTATCTCTCAAGTGTCTGGCATAAATCATCCAGTATCTCTCAAGTGTCTGGCATAAATCATCCAGTATCTCTCAAGTGTCTGGCATAAATCATCCAGTATCTCTCAAGTGTCTGGCATAAATCATCCAGTATCTCTCAAGTGTCTGGCATAAATCATCCAGTATCTCTTGTGTCTGTCTGTCATAAATCATCCAGTACCTCTTAAGTGTCTGGCACTGTGATCATCCAGTATCTCCCAATTGTCTGGCACTGTGATCATCCAGTATCTCTCAAGTGTCTGGCATAAATCATCCAGTACCTCTCAAGTGTCTGGCATAAATCATCCATTATCTCTCAAGTGTCTGGCACTGTGATCATCCAGTATCTCTCAAGTGTCTGGCATAAATCATCCAGTGCCTCTCAAGTGTCTGGCATAAATCATCCAGTATCTCTTGTGTCTGTCTGTCATAAATCATCCAGTACCTCTTAAGTGTCTGACACTGTGATCATCCAGTATCTCTCAAGTGAAATATCTCTCTGGTATCTGCAGAAACTAGTGAGCAGTCTCTTCCTATGACTCTAACTATGGGCTGACAAGCCCAAGGAACAAGAAGCCTCTAGCCAAAAAGCCTGGTCTTCCTTTCAGTAAATTCTGTTTCCATGTACTGAAGCCATCTAGTGTCACTGAGTTTTAGAGGATTCCTAGCAGTGCATCTCCACATACTACCTGTCCCTCCCATGTGCTAGTGTCTAGCCCCACCATGTTCACATCTCACTTGCATGTATCTCTGGATCATGACCATGGACATCCAATGTTTCTATACCTGTTTACAGCCGCCCAAAGAGAATTTCCTTTGCCGAGGTAACCATCATTATCCCATAACACTGCGTCTCACTGGGTCAGCATCTTCTGTTGACTATCTGATCTGCTTCCTCCACCTTTGTCGATAGGTGAGATGGACTTGATGGTTGCATGTCTGAGGCTTGTTCAGTCAGTCAAGTTCTATAATAAGTTCTTTCTTGGTCTGCCTCTTTTCCTCTTCCCCTTGTGCCCTGTAGTATTATTTCTGAGAGGCCATTAGATCTTATTACATGTCCATACTATTGTATTTTTTATTGTTTCACTAGTTAAAAGAGGTCGATAGTTGACAGTGTGTTGGGCAACTGTATAGTGAAAATCGTCATTTGTGATGTGGCCTCAATATGATCACAGTGTAGCAGCAGTCTATAGTGTACAATACATACAAAGTTCACTGGCTTTCACGGTTCTGGTTCAAGGGAAGAATGTAAGAGAAGATAGCAAGGCGATTTGCCTTGACTACCTCCACAGCCTCCCCTTCATCATATGACCAAAGAACAGTGCTAGTCTTTTCCTTATAGCTGCACATACTGATCTGTTTTCATTAGCTTCCTTCAAGCAGTCGTCGTTAGTTACTCTGGCAGTCCAAGGGTTTCTCAACATACATCTGAAAAACCACACCTCGGTTGCCTCCAAGGTTTTTCTAATTTGTGCATTCACATTCTATAGTTCATTATCATACAGCACTGTAGGTTTTACATAATATTTGAGTACTCTCTTTCGGACATCCAAAGAGAGGGACCTGTTGAGCAAAATGTTCTCATTCTGTGAAATGCAGCCTTAGCCTGGCCTATTCTGCTCTTAATTTCTGACACAGTTCTTCCATCTGATGTTATGATTGTACCTAGATATTTGAATTTATTGACTTGGATTAACTTTTTACCTTCTATTCTAATATCACACTGTGGTGGTATTCTTTTCATTGGTATAACCATTACCTGTTTTTTTTTTTTTTCAAGGACATACCATTTTTTGCACAAGTGGTGAACAGCTGAAGTACATCATGGCACAAGACAACAGCAACCAGCAGACAGGAAGCAAGCACAGACTAGCACTCACATGGACTCCCAACAAGACAACAGCAACCAGCAGACAGGAAGCAAGCACAGACTAGCACTCACATGGACTCCCAACAAGACAACAGCAACCAGCAGACAGGAAGCAAGCACAGACTAGCACTCACATGGACTCCCAACAGGGCAGAATCTCAGAGTCCCAGACTCGTGCCGCAGCCATCATTTGGTCCTCAAGCTTGCGCTGCTGCTGAAGTTGTTTCTTCTTCAGCTTCAAGTCTTTCAGTTCTGCAAACAAATATAACCATATGTACACACAATCATAACCATATGTACACCCAAACATAAATATATGTTCATACAAAAATAACCATATGTACACCCAAACATAATCATATGTACACACAAAGATATCCATATGTACACCCAAACATAATTATATGTACACACAAATATAACCATATGTACACACAATCATAATCATATGTACACACAAAGATAACCATATGTACACCCAAACATAACCGTATGTACACACAAACATAACCAAGTGTTTACACAAACTTAAATGTACAAACAAACCTAACCATATGTACACACAAACATAACCAAGTGTTTACACAAACATAACCATATGTAAATACAACCATAACCATATGTACACACAAACATAACCATATGTAAATACAACCATAACCATATGTACACACAAACATAACCGAGTGTTTACACAAACATAACCATATGTAAATACAACCATAACCATATGTACACACAAACATAACCAAATCTACACAAACATAACTAAAACAATACAACTGGCAGGTGATCCGCGGGCCACTTGTTATACCTCTGCAGGCCAGCAGCAGCTAAACAGCCCAGCCCTAGGCTACTGTGTACTGCTGATCATCACTAGCCTATATCACCGCTTGTTATCACTACTTATTATAGCTTTATAAATTATCACCATTAATATTATCTGATAAATTATCATTACTGTCAACAATGCTTTTCCTCATCAATTAATCTTTTCGCCCCGGGATCACATAAAAATAATTGGTCAGAGCTCTGTTATAATTCAGAAGAAAAAAAACTGGTTAAAAAAAGAAGAAGAATGTTTACACAGGTCATTAAAAATGTGCATTTAAAAATGATTTGTTTCTATAAATTTGTCCTGAAATCTCTAAAGATATGTGAAAGGATTATTCGATAAACATGAACAGGGTAAAACATGAAAAGGAATTCATTCCCAGGGCCTAAACAAATCTATCAGAGGACAAATGCCACCACCATGTGACCTCTATCATTGAGGCTGACAGGAAACCCTTGATGTCAGCTTGGCTTTTAAAACACATATTTACCTCAACTACAAAAAAACCTCAATGTTACTGTTAGTGTATTCATATCCTGACCTAAATAGTCTCACAGAGACAAACACAGTCAATAGCATTAATTATGCATCTTGTAAATACGTCACTAGAGACAAGTCAGAAAAATGACATTTATGAGGAACTGGACCCAACGGAAAGTGCCAGTCTTTCAGTTTCTTAGGGTAAAAGGGTTGATGTAAAATTATTTATTTTCTCACTAACTATGATTGTGAACATATTCCTGTATGCATTTGCTGATGTTGCAATGCTCTTGGGTTTTGTAGTTTTTCCCAAGCTGGTTTTATGGCATAGGCCAATTAGCAGCATGCCAGAAAAGCCATGACAATCAGATGTAGTTTTTTGGGAAATTGTAAAAATCCCCAATAAAGTCACAGAAACTGGGTTTACCAGAAGACTAAAATATATGGAGAGCCATAATGAGTGATTTCACTGCTTCTGAAGATGACCATATATTCTAAATTTCACTCACAATTTACTCTACACAATCTTGGTTTTACCAGTCAGACAAGAAAAATAGAAAGAAAGAGACTGGGGTTGGGGGTGAGGGAGAGAGACAGAGAAAAAGAGAGAGAGAGATACAGACAGAGAGATGTAGACATAGAGATTCAGGTGAACAAGTCTGCCCCATTTAGATCCATCACTCTGTAGGATTAGAATGAACGACCAGTCTCCTATTGAGTGAGCAGTGTCCCAGTGTGCACTGTGCCAGGATCAATCCTGAAGACTACAGTTGCCGTACGAACCACTGCACGTGAGACTGTGCTTAGATCTCCTCCATTCTGAGCCCACTATGACCACACACTACCAGGATACAAATGTCTTACTTGAATTAAGGCAGTCAGCAATAATTAAGAAAAGTCTCATTTCATGATAATAATTCTCTAGGTGGTCTCTACACACCAAGAAAGACAAACTGGACACCGTTGCAATATGCAGTGTACATACTCCTAGGAATAAATGCATAAATGCAGCTTGTTATGTATATGCATTTAAATTGAGGACAATACCTTTTCTTTTGGCTGCTTCCACCATTTCTTCATATTGCTGCCTATGCTTCTCTACCTCCTCTGGTGTCTTCGAAGGCAGGTTCCTTTGATTGGAAACAAAATAATTAATTTTTCAACAGTTAATTATGAAACCAACATCTCAATCGTCATGTCAGGATAAATTGGGGGGAGGAGGGGGGGGGGGGGTTAAAAAATAAAAAGGGGGGGGGGATTGTTTCAATACTCATACATTTTTGTGTGATCAGACAAAGTTTGTGACACAAACTGGGAAGCTACCATTTTGTTCCTTGCCCAGATCTTCCACTAAAATCACATGTGTCATCTCTTGGTTAATATCAAATACATCTGTCACCATCTTCACAGTTAGACACATCAATCTTCATTGTATCTTTTATCTGATTTTGACAATGAGGTCACTAATTTTTGTTTAAACTGAATGTCTCGACCCAACTGTATTTTCATTTGTTTCGGTACCAGTTTAAAACTGTAAATACTGCCTGAATATCTATGCGCAAGATAAACATTGGTTGCCAAATACTTGTCTCATCAATACAACTGCCTCATTAGCACTTTTCACCTGAGTTAAACATCATTTAATATTTGCTGTTTGTTCTTTGCCGCAAACCTAGGCAGCCACTTCCTACTGGCTAATCAAAACAGCTGGTTATTTGTAGTTTTGATGGGGTGGGTTAGCAATTTTTCCAGATTAGAGATAAATGTTGGTTGTTTGAGTTTTGCTTCATAGATGGCTTTTAAAAAAAAATCTTATTTATCATCTTAGCTGTTGCTGCACAATGTAATTGTTGGACAGAATATAATCTTTGCCATGAAACCAGAGCGGCAGAATCTCAATACAATTGATGGAGCCTGCAGTATTTGTTGGCACTGGCTGGTTGTTCTAATGTGTGTATTTCTGGCTGGCTATCATCATATAGTGTACATTTGACAGTCAGCTAACATGGACCAAGAAGCAAACAATACTGACATCCTAAAAGATCTGAACATCAAGCAAAACTGGCTTATAAACAGCATCTTGTCTTGGAAACTGAAATACTTTGGCCATATCAAATGCCACTGTGGATTAGAAACAACAAGGAGGTTCCAGTCAACATGGAGGTGAGGCACGGTCACTGTTATCAGTCGTGGCAAGTTTTTACTTCTGACAGGCAGTGGTCATTGTATTTTCCTCCATTTTTAGACTGACAGGATATAGTTTTGTCACCTAGCTAATGAGCTGAGTGCATGGTGTGACACTGTGAGCTGCCGATTTCATTTGGAATATTTTTTCAACTGTGATCAGAGTGGTGTTATGAACTGCAGATTTTAAAAAATGGCTCGTAACCTTTTGCCCCAGAATTGGTGGTGCTTTATGTGATTAAAATTAATCATGTGCATGACTGCTAATCTGTTTGTAACTGCTGCTTCTGTCAATGAGCTGTATTTCTAATGCTGGACTGTTTGTGTTAGCACTTCTGATAGCTGCCTTATACTTATAATGCATGTGTATGCTAGAGGATATGCTAACACTGCAGTCTGTATCAATTTTCCACAAGGGAAAGTGATGGACTACTTTTGCCCGGCTCTCTAGCGAAGTTGGTTAAACCTGACGAACTCCTTGTGGTCCGGGTTCACTCCCTGGGGTAGGCAGAAAAGCCACATTTCTCCCAGATTAACGGTACCTATAATGGAATCAAGGCCGAAGGGTTGCGATATCCATAGTACTGAGCCAAAGGGTTTACAACTCATGGTTTCTTGATACGTTAAAAAAAAAAAAAAGATGGACTACTTTTGTGTATGTGCATCAGCACAGGAGTGGAGCAACTATAGGGTGACCCGTTTGCTATGAAACTAAAAATAATATTACCAAGAAAGACATGGTACTGGGTAACAACAAGCACACAGATGGGTACAGGACATCAGAGATACTTTGTGTAGCAAGCAGCATGAAACACTACAAGCATGCTAAGATGGGAGCAACATTCTATGAGGTCCCACTACATGATGATGATAAATGCCAACATAACAGGGCTGTCGAAATTTGTTGGGAGATGGCATCTGACTGAACTGAATACTAGCATATAAGACTTCAGATTAAAATCTCAGCCTTGCAGAAGATTCCCAGGGAAGCAATGACAACACTGTCAGGAACTACCAGTGGTGTAGACTTCGCATATAATTATACTCCTAAATGAAGCAACAATCAAACACTGTGCTCTTTGACGGCTTCCCCATCGTATACTTACTGCTGACAGCTCAATGACTGAAGCAGACCACAAGTAAAGTATGCAGTATCATATTTTACTTGTACCAAAAACATAAATGCAACATCTTAACCATGTTAGAGACTTGTACCAAACACATGAATGCAACATCTTGACCATGTTAGAGACTTGTAAAAAACAAATGAATGCAACATCTTGACCATGTTAGAGACTTGTACCAAACACATGAATGCAACATCTTGACCATGTTAGAGACTTGTACAAAACACATGAATGCAACATCTTGACCATGTCAGAGACTTGGACCCAACACATAAATGCAACATCCTGAACATGTTAGAGACTTGTACCCAACACATGAATGCAACATCTTGACCATGTTAGAGACTTGTACCAAACACATGAATGCAACATCTTGACCATGTTAGAGACTTGTACCAAACACATAAATGCAACATCTTGACCATGTCAGAGACTTGTACCAAACACATGAATGCAACATCTTGACCATGTTAGAGACTTGTACCCAACACATAAATGCAACATCTTGACCATGTTAGAGACTTGTACCCAACACATGAATGCAACATCTTGACCATGTTAGAGACTTGTACCCAACACATAAATACAACATCTTGACCATGTTAGAGACGTACCCAACACATCAATGCAACACCTTGGCCATGTCAGAGACTTGTACAAAACACATGAATGCAACATCTTGACAATGTTAGAGACTTGTACCAAACACATGAATGCAACATCTTGACCATGTTAGAGACTTGTACAAAACACATGAATGCAACATCTTGACCATGTTAGAGACTTGTACCCAACACATCAATGCAACACCTTCGCCATGTCAGAGACTTGTACCCAACACATAAATGCAACATCTTGGACATGTCAGAGACTTGTACCCAACACATAAATACAACATCTTGGCCATGTTAGAGACTTGTACAAAATACATGAATGCAACATCTTGACCATGTTAGAGACTTGTACCCAACACATAAATACAACATCTTGACCATGTTAGAGACTTGTACCAAACACATGAATGCAACATCTTGACCATGTTAGAGACTTGTACCAAACACATGAATGCAACATCTTGACCATGTTAGAGACTTGTACCAAACATATGAATGTAACATCTTGACCATGTTAGAGACTTATACCAAACACATAAATGCAACATCTTGACCATGTTAGAGACTTATAAAAAACACATGAATGCAACATCTTGACCATGTTAGAGACTTGTATGAATGCAACATCTTGACCATGTTAGAGACTTGTATGAATGCAACATCTTGACCATATTAGAGACTTGTATGAATGCAACATCTTGACCATATTAGAGACTTGTATGAATGCAACATCGTGACCATGTTAGAGACTTGTATGAATGCAACATCTTGACCATGTTAGAGACTTGTATGAATGCAACATCTTGACCATGTTAGAGACTTGTACCCAACACATGAATGTAACATCTTGACCATGTTAGAGACTTGTACAAAACACATGAATGTAACATCTTGGCCATGTTAGAGACTTGTACAAAACACATGAATGTAACATCTTGACCATGTTAGAGACTTGTACAAAATACATGAATGTAACATCTTGGCCATGTTAGAGACTTGTACAAAACACATGAATGTAACATCTTGACCATGTTAGAGACTTGTACCAAACACATGAATGTAACATCTTGACCATGTTAGAGACTTGTACCAAACACATGAATGTAACATCTTGACCATGTTAGAGACTTGTACCAAACACATGAATGTAACATCTTGATCATGTTAGAGACTTGTACAAAACACATGAATGTAACATCTTGACCATGTTAGAGACTTGTACAAAACACATGAATGTAACATCTTGACCATGTTAGAGACTTGTACAAAACACATGAATGTAACATCTTGATCATGTTAGAGACTTGTACAAAACACATGAATGTAACATCTTGACCATGTCAGAGATTTATACTTGTAACAAACACATGAATGCAACATCTTGACCATGTTAGAGACTTGTACAAAACACATGAATGCAACATCTTGATCATGTTAGAGACTTGTACAAAACACATGAATGTAACATCTTGACCATGTTAGAGACTTGTACAAAACACATGAATGCAACATCATGATCATGTTAGAGACTTGTACAAAACATATGAATGCAACATCTTGATCATGTTAGAGACTTGTACCAAACACATGAATGTAACATCTTGATCATGTTAGAGACTTGTACCAAACACATGAATGCAACATCTTGATCATGTTAGAGACTTGTACAAAACACATGAATGTAACATCTTGATCATGTTAGAGACTTGTACCAAACACATGAATGCAACATCTTGATCATGTTAGAGACTTGTACCAAACATATGAATGTAACATCTTGGCCATGTCTGAGACTTACGTTGGCCGACTTTCCAAGATCAATGCAGTTGTAGACATGACCTCTAACCCCTGCTGCTTCTTGCTTGTCGACAAGAAAACTGGCCTGTCTGGTTTCTGCTGATGGCTAGGAACATCCAAGGTTATCTCCTCAGCTTGTCTATGAGGCAATGATCTTGGAGGGATTCTACCAAACAACTTCCAACCTGGCGGGCTTTCTTCTTTGGACTTCTTTGTGAACAGATTTCTGAAGGAATAGAAACCATTCTTCAGGTTGTTTTAGAAAATATGACATACACTAGAGAAGTGTGTTTTAGAAAATATGACATACGCTAGTAAAGTTTGTTATCTGAGACAGAAGGAGACAGACTATTTCAAGATAACTGAAACAAGTGAACAACCCCTTTAGGAATGCTGGTACTAACACCATCTGGCAAACTATAGCTCATGGGAAAAACTTGGTGCACAATTAGTACATAATTTGCTCTCTACCTCCAGCTTTCCAGAAATAACATAATTTCTGCAAATAAACAGCCTCAACAGACATTTAGGAATACATAGAAGAGCTTCAGTAGGTGAATGTGTCTGACCAGAGGTGTAGCAAAGGATTATGTTAGATTACCCCACAAAAATACTGTTACTATGAAATCAGGGTGTTGTGTTAATGATGGATTTTTTTCTATAGTGCCCACAACCAGGTTGCCAATTCTAAATCTGGCCTGTAGAGAGAAAAAGGTCGCCCACCCCTGATGTAAAGCATTCAGTACTCAAAGCTTGATGTATTGCTCACTGTCAAACCAGTTGCCTTTTACTTCCCCAGAGATATCCTGTTGCCCATGTTTAAGGTGTATCATACTGGAAACATAATCAAAATTATCAACTAAAAAAAGATATTAACACATGACCACTGAACAGAGAGGTAACTGTGCTGGTCACTGAACCAATAACATATGACCACTGAACAGACAGGTAACTGTGCTGGTCACTGAGCCAATAACACATGACCACTGAACCAATAACACATGACCACTGAACAGACAGGTAACTGTGCTGGTCACTGAACCAATAACACATGACCACTGAACAGACAGGTAACTGTGCTGGTCACTGAACCAATAACACATGACCACTGAACAGACAGGTAACTGTGCTGGACACTGAGCCAATAACACATGACCACTGAACAGACAGGTAACTGTGCTGGTCACTGAACCAATAGCACATGACCACTGAACCAATAACACATGACCACTGAACAGACAGGTAACTGAACCAATAACACATGACCACTGAACAGAGAGTTAACTGTGCTGGACACTGAGCCAATAACACATGACCACTGAACAGACAGGTAACTGTGCTGGTCACTGAACCAATAACACATGACCACTGAACAGACAGGTAACTGTGCTGGTCACTGAGCCAATAACACATGACCACTGAACAGACAGGTAACTGTGCTGGTCACTGAACCAATAACACATGACCACTGAACAGACAGGTAACTGTGCTGGTCACTGAACCAATAACACATGACCACTGAACAGACAGGTAACTGTGCTGGTCACTGAACCAATAACACATGACCACTGAACAGACAGGTAACTGTGCTGGTCACTGAACCAATAACACATGACCACTGAACAGACAGGTAACTGAACCAATAACACATGACCACTGAACAGAGAGTTAACTGTGCTGGTCACTGAACCAATAGCACATGACCACTGAACCAATAACACATGACCACTGAACAGACAGGTAAATATGCTGGTCACTGAACCAATAACACATGACCACTGAACAGACAGGTAACTGTGCTGGTCACTGGTCAATAACACATGACCACTGAACAGGCAGGTAACTGTGCTGGTCACTGAACCAATAACACATGACCAATGAACAGACAGGTAACTGTGCTGGTCACTGAGCCAATAACACATGACCACTGAACAGACAGGTAACTGTGCTGGTCACTGAACCAATAACACATGACCACTGAACAGACAGGTAACTGTGCTGGTCACGGAACCAATAACACATGACCACTGAACAGACAGGTAACTGTGCTGGTCACTGAACCAATAACACATGACCACTGAACAGACAGGTAACTGTGCTGGACACTGAGCCAATAACACATGACCACTGAACAGACAGGTAACTGTGCTGGTCACTGAACCAATAACACATGACCACTGAACAGACAGGTAACTGTGCTGGTCACTGAACCAATAGCACATGACCACTGAACCAATAACACATGACCACTGAACAGAGAGGTAACTGTGCTGGTCACTGAACCAATAACACATGACCACTGAACAGACAGGTAACTGTGCTGGTCACTGAACCAATAACACATGACCACTGAACAGACAGGTAACTGTGCTGGTCACTGAACCAATAACACATGACCACTGAACAGACAGGTAACTGTGCTGGACACTGAGCCAATAACACATGACCACTGAACAGACAGGTAACTGTGCTGGTCACTGAACCAATAGCACATGACCACTGAACCAATAACACATGACCACTGAACAGACAGGTAACTGTGCTGGTCACTGAACCAATAACACATGACCACTGAACAGACAGGTAACTGAACCAATAACACATGACCACTGAACAGACAGGTAACTGTGCTGGTCACTGAACCAATAACACATGACCACTGAACAGACAGGTAACTGTGCTGGTCACTGAGCCAATAACACATGACCACTGAACAGACAGGTAACTGTGCTGGTCACTGAACCAATAGCACATGACCACTGAACCAATAACACATGACCACTGAACAGACAGGTAAATGTGCTGGTCACTGAACCAATAACACATGAAGACTAAACAGAGAGTTAACTGTGCTGGACACTGAGCCAATAACACATGACCACTGAACAGACAGGTAACTGTGCTGGTCACTGAACCAATAACACATGACCACTGAACAGACAGGTAACTGTGCTGGTCACTGAGCCAATAACACATGACCACTGAACAGACAGATAACTGTGCTGGTCACTGAACCAATAACACATGACCACTGAACAGACAGGTAACTGTGCTGGTCACGGAACCAATAACACATGACCACTGAACAGACAGGTAACTGTGCTGGTCACTGAACCAATAACACATGACCACTGAACAGACAGGTAACTGTGCTGGACACTGAGCCAATAACACATGACCACTGAACAGACAGGTAACTGTGCTGGTCACTGAACCAATAACACATGACCACTGAACAGACAGGTAACTGTGCTGGTCACTGAACCAATAGCACACGACCACTGAACCAATAACACATGACCACTGAACAGAGAGGTAACTGTGCTGGTCACTGAACCAATAACACATGACCACTGAACAGACAGGTAACTGTGCTGGTCACTGAACCAATAACACATGACCACTGAACAGACAGGTAACTGTGCTGGTCACTGAACCAATAACACATGACCACTGAACAGACAGGTAACTGTGCTGGACACTGAGCCAATAACACATGACCACTGAACAGACAGGTAACTGTGCTGGTCACTGAACCAATAGCACATGACCACTGAACCAATAACACATGACCACTGAACAGACAGGTAACTGTGCTGGTCACTGAACCAATAACACATGACCACTGAACAGACAGGTAACTGAACCAATAACACATGACCACTGAACAGACAGGTAACTGTGCTGGTCACTGAACCAATAACACATGACCACTGAACAGACAGGTAACTGTGCTGGTCACTGAGCCAATAACACATGACCACTGAACAGACAGGTAACTGTGCTGGTCACTGAACCAATAGCACATGACCACTGAACCAATAACACATGACCACTGAACAGACAGGTAAATGTGCTGGTCACTGAACCAATAACACATGACCACTGAACAGACAGGTAACTGTGCTGGTCACTGGTCAATAACACATGACCACTGAACAGGCAGGTAACTGTGCTGGTCACTGAACCAATAACACATGACCACTGAACAGAGAGTTAACTGTGCTGGTCACTGAACCAATAACACATGACCACTGAACAGACAGGTAACTGTGCTGGTCACTGAACCAATAACACATGACCACTGAACAGACAGGTAACTGTGCTGGTCACTGAACCAATAACACATGACCACTGAACAGACAGGTAACTGTGCTGGTCACTGAACCAATAACACATGACCACTGAACAGACAGGTAACTGTGCTGGTCACTGAGCCAATAACACATGACCACTGAACAGACAGGTAACTGTGCTGGTCACTGAACCAATAACACATGACCACTGAACAGACAGGTAACTGTGCTGGTCACTGAACCAATAACACATGACCACTGAACAGACAGGTAACTGTGCTGGTCACTGAACCAATAACACATGACCACTGAACAGACAGGTAACTGTGCTCTGAGCACAAATGCACACACTAACTACCAGACCAGGGTCAACAGGACTGATTGTGAGATTTAAACCTTGGAGATCAACACTGACAGACAGCTAGGTTAACATGATGTTTGTGATACATCCTGGGCATATCTGATAAGGACAAATAACAAACAAGTGTTTGAAAAAGCCGATATTACCGCACCACTCTCTGCTCACGCAGAGACATCTTCAGTGGTTGCACCATGTGTCTTAAATAGACAGTGGCTGCACCATGTGTCTTAAATAGCCAGTGGCTGCACCATGTGTCTTAAATAGCCAGTGGCTGCACCATGTGTATCAAACAGACAGTGGCTGCACCATGTGTATCAAACAGACAGTGGCTGCACCATGTGTATCAAACAGACAGTGGCTGCACCATGTGTATCAAACAGACAGTGGCTGCACCATGTGTATCAAACAGACAGTGGCTGCACCATGTGTATCAAACAGACAGTGGCTGCACCATGTGTATCAAACAGACAGTGGCTGCACCATGTGTATCAAACAGACAGTGGCTGCACCATGTGTATCAAACAGACAGTGGCTGCACCATGTGTATCAAACAGACAGTGGCTGCACCATGTGTATCAAACAGACAGTGGCTGCACCATGTGTATCAAACAGACAGTGGCTGCACCATGTGTATCAAACAGACAGTGGCTGCACCATGTGTATCAAACAGACAGTGGCTGCACCATGTGTATCAAATGGACAGTGGCTGCACCATGTGTCTTAAACAGACAGTGGCTGCACCATGTGTTTCAAACGGACAGTGGCTGCACCATGTGTATCAAATAGACA